ATAATCCTGTCACAGAATAATAATAATCCTGTCACAGAAAAGTGTGTATTTTTTCTCCATTCCATTCTTGCTGAAATGGAATCCAATAAAACCTGCTTCTTAAGAGATAAAACAGAGATAGCTGCATCTGTTTCTTCCACTTGTATAAATATAGATGTTTGTTATTATAAATAATATAATACACTGCAAGGAGAAAATTGTGACGCAAAAGAAATCAACATATTCTTTTGCTGAATTGATATTGGGACTTAGAAATTTCTATTTCATGTAGGAACTTGTGGAACACAAAGGGAATTCAAGTGAAGAAAAAGCAAAGCTTGGTGCTCATTTAAAATGTGATGTGCCACTGTGAAAACATAATTGCTCTCCCAGTTCAGTAAATTTAATTAAAGGAATAACTAAGTCCAGCTCTGTGAGTACTTCACTAAACAATCAGGAGTGATGGAGGCCAGCCTTGATCTATATATATCTCACAAGCTTTGGCTTGTAGAGAATAGTGAAGAGACATGCTCCACTTAAAAGAAATTTATGAAAATCTCTGTAAAATTATTGATAATGCCTATCTATCTGGAACAATTTCTCATTCTGTCAGATTCCTAATTCTGCCACATCTGGCACAATCCGTTGATTATCTAGCACTCTGGAGAAAAGCAATACATAGAAAGTACTACAAAATTTGGTATTGAGAATAGCATGGCCAGCCAAGAGAACAAGCAGCCCTAATACCCTTCGGAAGTCTATAATGCTGGGAAAGTGGAAGGAAAGAAAAGCAATAAAAGGGAAGGGAAGACAGCAACCAGTTGGATGGATTGGAAAATGAAAGACCAGATTGTCATGCATAATATTTATTTACATGATTAAGACCCACCATTGACTTAGCTATCAACCACTGGAAAATCTGGTAACAAGTTAGGAAATCCTAGCAACATACAACAAAGGCGGACAAGTAGCTGTATTTGAAGGGTTGTAAGAGGAAGGAAGCATGATGACCAGAAAAGAGGAAGTGAGAAATTACTGAAATGAAAAATCTGTATACTTTTGACAGACCTTTTTGATGGTACACAATTACAAAGTTTCTGATGAATAGATGAAAATAGTAATCCAAAGAATATTTTTAAGCAGTAAGGTAAAGTTAAAGGTTCCCCTTGCACATATGTGCTAGTCGTTCCCGACTCTAGGGGGAGGTGCTCATCTCCGTTTCAAAGCCGAAGAGCCAGCGCTGTCCGAAGACGTCTCCATAGTCATGTGGCCGGCATGACTAAATACCAAAGGTTCACGGAACGCTGTTACCTTCCCACCAAAGGGTGGGATCTATTTGGTGGGATCACCCCACCAAATAGGGATCACCAAAGGTGATCCCTATTTTTCTACTTGCATTTTTTACATGCTTTCGAACTGCTAGGTTGACAGAAGCTGGGACAAGTAACAGGAGCTCACCCCATTACGTGACACTAGGGATTCGAACCGCTGAACTGCCAACTTTTCTATTGACAAGCTCAGCGTTTTAGCTACTCAGCCACCGCATCCCTCTTTTAAGCAGTAATGATTAACAATTGTTTAAAAGTTAAAGTCTATACTCTACTTCTGAAATGAAAGTTTTGCTTTGCCTTTATGAATTATTTCTTGTCCCCCATTTTATTATATAATATAAAACAAGACACTTTATTAACATCTTGCCAAGCAAATTCTCAAAAACTTGCAAACTCTTTACTGCCATTTTGACTAGTTCTAAGAAAGTTATTAAGCTAATTATGGATTTTGAATTTGCTCCTGCTGTTTAAACTAACCATCATTACTATTTTATGTATTTCAGTAAAGCATTTTTATATAAACAGAGGCAGACAAATAATAAAACTAAAGATAGTTTCCACAGCCAAGCATTAATTAACATTAAAATATGCAGTAAGGGGAGCTCTTTATTAATAGGCAACTAGCTAAGATCTTCATGGATTTTAAAATAAAAAATATATGCACATAGCAAAACAAGATGCTACTTCAAGCTATTAAAATGCCATTTCAATCATTCTATAATGTAATGTAATTTATAATGTAAAAATAAAAAGTGGTTGTATATGAATGCCACAATACAAAATCATGCTCTGAGTTGCATATCTGTTGTTTATATAATACATTCAGGTACAGAAGGACCCAATAATCATATATTTTGCAGCAATTCTGTTATGTTTTCTCAATACAATTTATGTGATTAAATAAAAAGGAAAAAGGAAAAGGAAAAAAAAAGCAAGGGAGATTTTAAGATGATGATGGTAATGGATGGATCCCTGGACAGTTTTATGAATGTGGCAGGGAAGCTTTTATATTCAAATCACAAATACAGTCAGTCAAGTTGATTAAAGTAAATCCAGTATCTCAAAAGGACAAAAAGGAGGGTAAAATAAGTTTCCCATAATTTTTGTTCAGCAAATTAATACTAAGAAAGTACAAACTAAGTATTAATAAATGGAATATAGTGACTAAATATTAGAACAAATTTTAGTTGTTATTAAAACAACTCTTATATGCCTTAAGCTTCTACAACAATAGCAGAAATATCACATGTTGAAAGAGTGCTGGTAAACTATTTTCCAGTATATACAGATAAGAAATATTCTGGGAAACATTCTTATTTGTTACAACATAGAAAAGAAGTCTGTGTTCAGTTCAGACTGTGACAAATGCAATCCAGGAGTCTCCAGTTTGCTGTTTTATACAAACAACGATATCCTCTTTGAAAGCCTCTGGGGATTGTCATAAAACATGGATTATCAATGCAGCACAAATCACATCTCCAGAGACAGACTACAGAATTCAACTCAAACCAAATGTATTATAAATGTTTTGTTTTCAGAAAATGGACAAGAGCAGGTGAGAACTCCAGAGCTCACAAAATTTGATGATGTTGTTTTTGTACTTATTTTAGGACAGCATCAATATAATTTAAATACCTGTTTCTTGTAATATCTGGCAAGCTACAAATGTTGAAAAACTACAGGCATAACAGATGTATAAGCATTTACTACAATGTTTATTAATCTTATCTACTACCATCAAAAGTAAAGTGTCTACTCTATGAACTGGTGGATGCCATTTACTTCTTGTCAGTGTGAACTTATTTCACAGAAAACTGGATTTTTTTGGGGGGGGGAGGTTGCGGAATACCAATATTTTTGCAACTGTACCCATAAATGTTGGCAACGTTTAGATGTAAAATGTAACTACTTATTTGATTATTTTATTATTTCTGCATTAAATTTACATGCCACCATAATTGTCAACTATGAATGGTGAATAGTAGACCACGATTAAGATTCATTCTCAAAGAACAGGGCTTTTTTAAAAAGTTGAAACAGGGTTAACAAAATCAGGACAAAAATAAAAAAGACTAAAATGTTTCATATGAGGTACCCTGAAGCTACCCTGAAATGTAGTCAAGATCCTAAATCTAAGAAAATGATCAATATAAAACTGTGAGATTATTAATGAAAGAACTGGAATCTGAAATGAGCTAAAACACTAAATGGATGGGATAGGTATGAATAAACAATGCAGTCTGAGAATTTACACAGTGTGATATTATACACATGGTTCTCATTACCCGGCTTTTAATATTACTAGGTAGCTAGGAGGATAATTCATGACCCATGTTAGCCAGTCATGGGTGGCATGTGGCCTTCAGACACACCGCAGCCTATCAAATTACAAGAAATAAAAGTTTCACAAAGATCACTTCACAGACAGGATTATTCTAGTAACAGTAATACTAAACTGTTGTCAAAATCCTCATCTCCCTCATTAATGATTCTTCTCAAAATAATTAATAGTGCTGTTTTCAAAGAGCAGTGGGACAAAAAAACCAACCCCATGCTAGTTCACAATCAGTAGGTCAGAAGACAATTTATCCGTATGTATTTGTAAGACACAGATGGCCCACCCATGAGCCTGTCAACTGCTGGGTTTACCCCAACTCAAAAAAAGTCATTGACATTAAATGATTACGGTCCACAAAGTATTCAAATAGATGACAAGTGAGTTAGCACAGGCTGATTAATGTAGTAAATAGAAGCATATGATTATAGATATCTGACAACAGATTATAGGAGTGAGTGGAGCTGTTCCAAGTATTGCTTCATATCTGCACTTACACTTTAATCAAAAGTGCCTGGAAACATTTTCTATCTCTTTTGTCATTTTTATATCACAATGTTTCACCACCATTTCCTAAGGGCTGTATACTATGCTAAAAATCTTTGCAAAACTATAGCTAGTTTCAGGACAAATAATTGGCCTTGCCAAGGCAGCAGAGACAATTTTAGTAGCCATGGCTATGCAGCATTGCAGATCCAAAGGGAACAGGAGTCTATGGAACACACCTGAATGAAGAGGTAGCACCTGCTGGCAACTTCTTAAATTAAACAGTTAGTTGCAGAAGGAACCTGGTGAGCCTGGAAGTAGATGGGCTTCCTTAAAGGAGTTAATGAAAAATGGCTACAGGATCAGCCCTCCTGTATTCTGAAAAATCTTTTTCCCTTCAGATCCCACATAGCCCTGGGAGTATAATCCTTATAATAAATGGTTTTGAACTACCAACATCTTGATCCAGTGTTCTTAGCTCCACCAGGAATCAAATTTCAGGCTGTAAAATTCTAAAAAGATTGGGAGGTAAGTCAATCAGGGCAAAGGCAAATAAATGATCCAAACAATTCAGAGTTTGATTTCTCCCCATTTGCTTCTTTGGTCAAGACAAATAACTTTTTTTTGCACCATAATTTCTTGCTTTCCCCTCCCCTGGATAAGAAAAATATTAGCTTTCATTAAACACATAAATAAATGTCACCATGTTTCTAATGCTTTTCGCAAAAACCCAAAAAGTATGAAAAGAAATTAGACCTTCTTTACTCTTTGGGCAAATCAAGAGGAGCCTCTTTGGTATAGCTGTTGCAATCTCCAAAAGTCCAATTCACATGATTGGATGAATTTAAATTTTCCTTTCTACCCTGCAGCTCCAGAATGGAATGGAAAGAAGCGGTCAATTTGTTTCAAGTCAAGACTGCTGCAGAAATCAAAGCAGTACTTCATGGACTACTTGTGAATTAAATATTTCTTTCTGCAGGGAATAAGATGAAAAAAGAATGGATTTTCAGAAAGTGCCAGTAAGATCTTGATGTTTTTGCCTCCTGCAAAATTCTGGTGAAGAACATAAATGTTAGAAGTGAGGGAAACATGGCAATGATCTTTCTTCCTACTGAGTTTTGGAAACAGTGCCAACCCAATGTGACTATTGTATGCAAAAGCAAAAGCTGTGTTACTTGAATCGTCTGAAAGAGACTGACACAGGGCAAATAACTTTCCTACCCCTGAGTTGTCCATGTACAGGATGCGAATTTTGCAGTAGGATCTGTGATAATGTAAGCAAGGAACTTAGATAGTCAAACAGAGAGCATGTGCCAGCATGTTGTGCAACAGTTACTCATAATTCCAAAGTATTTGTACTTTACTGACTTGGATCTAATTCTTATTATAAAAAGAGCCTTACGGTCTATTTGTTACTTCTATGATACTCAACAAACTGTCAGAAATATTAAATTTAGGACATCTCCAGAATACCTAAACAAGTTAAAGAATAAGATTCTATGTGGGCTCAGAATACGTTTTCATTAAGGTGACACAAAATACTAGATCTTTAGTATATTTTTTAATTCATACAGATACAATATTAATATTTCAAACTTAAGTATTCTTTTTAAAAATTTGGGATCTGCTTCCATGATAGTAAGATAATAAATTATTTCTCCTCTCTTCAACATATAACATATTGAAAAATAAAATAATTTTTATTGTTTATAACATTTATATAGCTGCTCATCTTCTAACCAAAATATGATTGCGTGGCTCCCAATCATATTTTGGCCTTATTGGGCATTGTTTATTGTAAATAAATGCACGACTTATAGTTTGCATAACCAACTATTCTACGCTATGCTATGCTATGCCATGCCATGCCATGCCATGCCATGCCATGCCAAACTGAAGTTAGAAAAAGATGAAAAAGAAAAAAAACTGAAGGAAAAAGCACGACTTATAAAGAAGAAGAAAAAGCAAAGAGTGAATAAAGAAAAAGAAAACAAATATATAAACAAGTGATTTCCAGACTTCATCACAAGTATAACTAATTTAGTAACTCTTTACCCCTATAAAGTTACAGTTATTTCTTCATGCCATATACCATCCCTTATCTATAAGACATAAAACATCAACTTTCAATAGAAAATGAAGTGGTATCCTGAAGTAGACATGCATACACAAATGGTATTTATGTGGACTTCAAACAGTTAAGTTTGCAAAGAAATAAAAGAATGTATAGGAAATAGGGCAATAATTAATGTAGTATTTTACTTAATAGGTAGTCCTCAACTTACAACCACAATTGAGCCCAAAATTTCCATTGCTAAGTGAAACCTTTGTTAAGTGAGTTGCACCCTATTTTATGACCTTTCTTGCCACAGTTCAGTGAATCACTGCAGTTGTTAAATTAGTAAGATGGCTGGTAGTTAAATGAATCTTGCTTCTCCAATGACTTTGCTTGTCAGAAGGTCGTAAAAGGGGATCACAGGACCCTGGAATATTGCAATGTCATAAATATGAGCCAGTTGCCAAGCACCCAAACTTTGATCATGTGACCATGGAAATGCTGTAATGGTCATAAGTGTGAAAAACAATCATAAGTCATTTTTTTCAGTGCCACTGCAACTTTAAACGGTCACTAAACAAATGGCTGTATGTCAAGGACTACCCGTATTGTAGTTTTTAATTAGATTTTGGGTATTGTGTTTTAAACAATACCCAAAATCTAATTAAAAACTACAATACAGGTAGTCCTCGACTTATGACCACAATTGAGCCCCAAATTTCTATTGTTCAGTGAGACATTTGTTAAGTGAGTTTTGTCCCATTTTACAAACTTTCTTGCCACAGTTGTTAAGTGAATCACTGCTGTTGATAAGTTAGTAACCTGGCTGTTAAGTGAATCTGGCTTCCTCATTGACTCTGCTTGTCAGAAGATTGCAAAAGGGGATCAGATGACCTTGGGGCACGGCAACGGTCATAAGTATGAACCAGTTGCCAAGCATCTGAATTTTGATCACATGATCATGGGGATGCTGTGAAGGTCGTAACTGTGAAAAATGGTCGTGACATTTTTCAGTGGTATTATAACTTTGAATGGTCACTAAATGAACTTACAGCCATTTGTTTAGTGACCGTTTGAAGTTATAATTTCATTTCATTTCAAGATCTATAACATCACCTGATCATATGAAGTTCAGGTAGTCTTCAATGGTTGCTTAACCATTTGAAGTTACGGCTGTTAGGAAAAGTTACTTATGAGCCATCCTCAAAATTACAACTGCCCCATCCCTCTTGCAATGTGATTGCATCTCATGCAATTGCAGGTTGCACTTGGCAACTTATTCATACTTTCAATTGGCTTCCAAGTAATCACTGAAATCATGTGGTCACCATTTGCTGGCAGGGAAGGCTGCAAGCTGCTGCTGCCTGCTGAAGGATGATTTCCCCATCCTTCTATCCAGGGGCCGGGTGGGGGAAACATCTTAGGTGGGTTGCAGAAACAAAGTTTGGATCACAAAGATCAATCAAAATAGACATGAACATTTTGTTCCAGTTCACTATGAAAAAGTTGAAACTGGAAAATGAAATGAAAAAAATAGTTCAGTACATAAGACACTCATGCCATGCACATGACAGGTCTCTTACATTACTTCTCATACTGGATTCAAAATGCTTTTGAACACAGCAGGAGATATATTTTACCCTAATGTCCAAGTTGTGGAATACCTATATGAATCTGAATACTCAGATAGGAAAAGACTTCTGAAATTATTCAACAGCACTTTTATATTTTATATTGGAATTAATATAAAAGTCAAGAATCACAGGAACTGGGTCTAAACCCCAAAAGATGGAGCTCCATAGACCATACCGCCTTTAAGGGTAATAATAAAGTTTTTATTTTTTATTTTTGACTTATCTTAATCCCCCCAACTTTAGTTTTTCCCCCCAATGGTAAAATGATTCTTTATTCCCAGCAATTGTCCATTGCCACCATGTAATATATTATTAATATATGCTTAGTATCTCAAAATTCTATTTTGGAAATTAAACTAAGTTCACAGCTTGGATGAGAATTAAATTTGAGATGCCATTCTGATTTATCTTATGGTGATACCAAGGAAAAGAAAACTATGCGTGTACACACACACACACAGAATATATAATACATACACACACACACACACACACTGTATATAATCTGTACATCCACATCCACACACATATATACACATATACACACATGTATTAGAAACTGAAACCTACAACTGAGCTGTGTTTGGTAAAATTTAATTAGAGAAAAACCTGAAATTAGGAGTAGAGATAAGATTTGAAACAAAAGCAAATAGTTCATTCTCCTGTTATCCAGACGCATGGTGGCTAAATGCCAGCTGGACAATCCGTGACCTAATGCACATTTACTTGGCCGTCAGCAGTCAAAACATTCCCAGGAGCAACTTCAAAGAACCCAATTTACAAAAAGCTCCACAGAAACAAACCATACTCGTGTGCTAATGCCCACACATAAGAAAATAATTTACACCAAAGTAGTTCTCATAGGTTTGTTATGAGGGTTTTCTTTTGTACGAAATGCAACTACACAACTAAAGATCTATTGTAACACTTCCTGCTTCAGCTGTTCCTTTAAATAATCAAGCAAGGTGCATACCTTCAATCAGCACACTTCTGAATAAGTTTGGATGAGTTACTGAGGAAATCTCAAGTATCGAGTCGCCTATAAACAAGAATCTAAAGGAGGGGGCGGAGGAAGAGAATCATAACATACTCTTCCCTTCTCAAAAAAAATAAACCAGCCAAGCTTGTCAAAACGTTTCACTGCACCATCCAGTTATACCAAATTCCATTTTGCTACACGCCGGGAACAATCTTTGACACATACCACACATACACAAGCTTAAAACTACTATCTTGTAACAATAGCTATGCAATGATGGATCTATTGCAATTGAAGTGAGTTCCTACTTAATAAGGAATTCGGAGGATCAAACAAAGAATCCACACACACATGCTGCAGACAGACAATAGAGCATATTAATCCAAGTTCCTGTCTTTGCATAAATAGGCTTATTGTTACTGCCTGGACTGAACTGAAGGCTACCTCCAGAATTATCCCTGATTAATGGTCATTATGTAGAAAAAATTCATTCTTCCTGAATGAAAAAAAGTTATATATGTTCTAATTCAGCTGTTGTTTACCCTTTTAAAAAAAAATCCAAACTAATACTAACACTCTTCTTATCACAACAAAAATAGGCAAATGCCAGGGTCGAAGATTTCACGAGAGCCTTTCCCCCATGCAATAACAATATATTTTCCTGCTAAATCTTAAATATAATTATGTGTTTTGTTATGTGATGACCATTCCGGGAGGTTGCACATGTTAACGAAAACAGAAGAAAATTAGATAGATGACATGATTAACTGTATTCATTTCATGCATGGATGTGTTTTATGGGACGAGATAAAGACCTGAAAGTAATTACCATGAACTGAAACTCCTTCACTGACCTCTGCCTGCAGCCAGCAGTTGTTAAAATGCTGATAGGTTTATAATAAAGAGCAATTACTCTTTCTTCTGTATGCTTTCCTTTTATGCTACAGAAGAGTTCCTCCACCGTTGCATGAACACTATACCACTGTATCTATGTCTCTAATGCAGCATAAAGATTACTGGGGAAACCTATCAAATTGGAAAGCAGCAAATGTTGCCAGCCAATGGCAGAAAGGCACATGCAGAATCTAGCACATGCTCTCTGAGGCTTGGATACTGTCACTGTTGTTTAGCAGGCTGCTAATCTAATTATAGCCATTTGCTAGCACAGAACGATGAAAGGAGGGCACATGACCAAAAAAAAATCAAATAAACCCCAAGACAGGTATATCCCTGTACAAGAATGGATGTAAGCATATGCACATGCATTCTAGTTTCTTTCACTGCAAGAAGTCCCAGTTAGATAACCAGCTGACTTCAGCCGCTTTCTCATAATATTTGAAGTCCCAAATAGCATTCACCAATTTTGCATCAATTTTCTTAATAACCTGCAATTGTTATGTTATAAGCCTTAATTCTTTGCAACTCAAACTCTATATATTTATATAAGGTGTAGTTATGTACACTGAAACATTTAAGTGGGCAAAGTTGAACTATTCTGATTCTAGGTAAGTGGCCAACAGAATAAGGATGCACTTTGTATTAGCTTTATATTTAAACACAAGTCTCATGGACCTGAGTAATAAGGGAGTGATGGAGCTTTCTGTACTTTCTCTGCATTCAGAAATCAAGTAGGATAGGGATAGATAGGAAGCTTCTTTTCTCATATCTTTCCATCTCAACTTTGCTAAAACTACCAAACCAACCTGAATTAAAGACAACTGTTCTCAATGGCTACAT